TTCCTCATCCAGCGACGGCCATAAACTCGCAGCAGGAGTGACATGATACCGTATCATATCTTCCCGTGCTGAAAATAAGCAAAACACCATGTTTAATACACATTCAATACATGTACAGTGGAACCACGATGTTCCGTGGGAGGTTTGAAACGACAGCGAGACAAACGGATTGTCGATAATATAGACCATAGCCCCAATAGAGACTCCTTAGAGACAATTACAGGCCGCGACAATGCGTAAAGAGGAATTTAAATGGGCATGTAATCGTTGTTTTGATATACAATCCATCTTAACAGTAATGTCATTATAGGCCATTATATTTCGAAAATACGTTTTAAAAAAAAATAAACCAAAGTTACGCCTTATATATGGCAAAAAAGATCTGTAGTAATTTCAAAAACATCGTCTGTCGTATATAAATACGGACGACACTCATTTTATCGACAGGAAAAGACATTCAAAAGATTCATATTTGTAAATTTTCACAAATTGCAAATGGCGGTGGCCAGTGTCATTCCATCGATACGGCAGTTAAATACGGTCAATTTCAATGCTTATAGATACTCTAAACACCTTAGAATACAATAATCGTCTTCTTAAATACCTTGAATATGCAGCCTAGTAAACATCTTGTCAGTAGAAGACCTCGAAACGATGCTGTAGTCAACGAAATGCAGAGCGATAGCTAGTAAGTGCAGTAGCGATTCTGTTAAAAACAGAGGGGGACGTTGGCAAGGGCAACGGTAACTATATGGAAACGAAGTCAGAACGAGGCGTCATCGAACATTTCCGGCAACGTCAAGCAGCCAGCTACAGCTGCATGCCATGGGGCCAAACACCTGACGCTTTGGGGGGTTAACACCGTTGTCTATGTATTCAAATGCCGGATATACCCTAGTTCACCACACACCCGTAACTGTTGGTTGTCTAAAACATAGCTTTCACTGTCTAAAGACGTGTTAAGATTAGTACCAAAACGATTAGATTCCATGGAAGGACCATTTGTTGTGATGAACATCGGAAGAAAGGCTTTAACTGCCGGCAAAAAGCAAACGACCAAACAAAGGGAAGCAGATCCTGCTTTGACGGCCGTTGTCAGCGGTTTCCGTGGGTGATAAAAGAAAGGGCCGGTTGTGTTTGTTTTGACCCCGAGTATCCACTGTCAACTGGTAAAGGCATGTCGTTCCTGGCCGTTCATCTGACATGGGGCCGTCCGCCTGCTTGTGTGTAGCTGGTGGTGTACGTTTAAGCGTTGCTATACGACTGCAAATGAGAATGAGTCGCCCAAGCAGCAGTTATTGTCAGGTGTGTGTGTGTGGGTGTGGGTGTGGGTGTGGGTGTGTGTAAGTTTCAGTGCAGAATGAATCATCTGGCGGCTGCGATTGGGTGTTATTTGTGTCTTATAATGTACATCCACCCCGTGATTATAACTGACCATGTCTTTGCATTATTTAGTGCTGTCTTTTAAACACGATTACTTGTGCTGAACGTGACCACAGATATTTCAAGCGGGAGACAGTTTGTGCCGAACCCCTCGCCGATAAACTTGCGCCAATAAGCTGACAAGAGTGCTCTCCCTTTGTGCATAGGTCGAGACGAAGCTGGCTGTGAGACATTCCCCCTCAAAATGACAGATACAAGCTAATTAACCTGCTTGCGATGTCAGTATCTTTATTGTGTGCATGATTCAATAAAGAAATATGTACATGTATCTGCACAATTCCAGCTATATCCCCGCTCATCTAAATGCCAAGGCAAGGTCCCGGGCGTGTAATAGTGAGGCAAAGTAGGCGTTAACCGGCAGTCGCTTGTAATGATCCACCTGACATTCAGCACTGGTGGTCCGTACAGGTATTTGGTCAGTGAACCCGATCTACCCTCTGGCCAAGACGTGTTACATAGACAAAGGCCGTGGCCAAAACAACAGGCAAGATTAAAACCCTCTCTTTGATTGAACCTTCCGTTCTAAAGAGTCTAACAAGGTTATAGGTTGGCCGTGTAATAATTCAATTACTCTAGTAACACCACATTTTATCATTACTATGTTCCGTCCAATATACAGTTACACGCTTTTAATTTCCAAGGTCGACATGGAAGTAACGTGCTCCTTCTGTACCCAGTTTATGTACTGGATGATATGTGATGAATAAACCTAAGAAAATCCTGCTCGTTGTGTCCCCCCCGCCGCGACATGGGGAACTATTGCTAAGAGCCAACCATGCCCACTTCTCACTCACTGTCTCACTCACTACTCACTCATTCACTGTCTAGGAGGTAATGAGTGCCACAACTGTCCCAGTATCATACAAGGCACCAGTTGCTACGTGTATCAACTGGATTCAAAATGAGCACTAGACCAGGGCGCAATCCCTCTTTCTGCTTAAGAATATGTATAAATATATCTAAAGACAATGTCACGGTTATTTAAACAGGCGCAAAGAGGGAAGGGAGACCACTCGACCATTCACGTGTACGTGCCCGCAGTACAAACTAAGTGAAGCAATCATAAAATATCCAGTCTACCCGCATCAGCTTTGTATCCGTAGCTACACACGGGTATAGACTTCGTGTTTGTCATCAGACAACTTGTAAAACACTCGAGCTAGAAGACAGCAGCACAGCGGGATACAGCAAATGACCACTGAATATCTTCACGTGTCAGTTAGTTAACTGTCTACAACAACTTCAAGATATCTTAAAACCAGACTTGGTTCAGCTGCCTCCTCCGCTGTGTTGCTGTCACCTTGCTAGTAGATCCAAGGAAGGGAAGGAAAACAGACTACACGTGTATACCATTCATTAATATTTATTAAGATATAATCAAGAAATAGAATAGCATTCGCCTAAAGAAAGTATCTGAATTAGGGGCAAAAAGTATAAACAGTCTCTCATTAGGAAAGAAATAAACTCAGGAAATGTCAGCCAAAGGGTGTGCCAAAACATACTCGATCGAAAGGGTGTGTCCAAATATATGTCCAAAGGGTGTAGCCAAAAGTCCAAAGCTCTCTCTCTCTTGCTGTCTCCTGTGCTCCTCTCTCTCTCCCCCCTCTCTCCTCTCTCCCCTCTCTCTATCTCCCCTCTCTCCCCACTCTCTCTCCTCTCCCTCTCTCCCCTCTCTCTATCTCCCCTCTCTCTCTATCTCTGTCCTCTCTCTCTCTCTCTCGCTCTCTCCCCTCTCTCTCCCCTCTCTCCCTCTCCCCTCTCTCTCTCCCTCTCTCTCAATCCCTGCCTCTCCTCTCATCTCTCTCTCTCCTCTCTCCTCACCCCTCTCTCTCTCTCACACACACACTAACATTCTCGCACACATACACACATACTCATTCATCCAATCACACATGTTACCCTCTCACACACACATTTTACCCTTACACACAGACATACATACATTCACGCACGTACGCACGCACACACAAACACACTGGATGAGGAATCTGCAGAGATTCTCCTCAGAAGGCAGCCACTCTCCTCAGCGCCTTCCTCCACTGGGATGAACCTCTCGCTCCTCCACGAGGCTGTCGTCGTCCTCGTTCCTCATAGACCCAGTAGTCACTGTCGTCGTCACTCGGGACAGGGTAATAGTCGACATAGGTGATGGTGACTGGGGCAGGTAGCGTCTCGCCGTTGTCGGGACAGATCCAGAACGAGGGCAGAAAACACTCAAAGGGTCGGGAGAGGAACTAGGGGACACAGCCTGGGGACGCTACATCCCGGTGAGTGGGGAGGGTAGGAGAAAGGAGGTCATTGGACGAGGCATATAGGAGGATTTTAAAGATGCAAACACACAGAATATTAAGGTGCATAGTCCTTGATTATACACGCTATAGATGCTGACAGAATGTTAGACAGGAATGTTGTGTTAGTGTTGAGTAAATGGGAGACGGGTACCCTTTTCAGTCTGTGACAATATCATGTCACGTATATGCATAAATGGATTATCGAAACAAGGACAATGAAGCTAGCTATTGGGTCGAATCTCAAGAAGATGGAGATGAAATGCATACGCAGTCAGTTCCTCATCCAGCGACGGCCATAAACTCGCAGCAGGGTGACATGATACCGTATCATATCTTCCCGTGCTGAAAATAACCGAAAACACCATGTTTAATACACATTCAAGACATGTACAGTGGAACCACGATGTTCCGTGGGAGGTTTGAAACGACAACCGAGACAAACGGATTGTCGATAATATAGACCATAGCCCCAATAGAGACTCCTTAGAGACAATTACAGGCCGCGACAATGCGTTAGAGGAATTTAAATGGGCATGTAATCGTTGTTTTGATATACAATCCATCTTACAGTAATGTCATTATAGGCCGTATATTTCGAAAATACGTTTTAAAAAAATCAACCAAAGTTACGCCTTATATATGGCAAAAAGATCTGTAGTAATTAAAAACATCGTCTGTCGTATATAAATACGGACGACACTCATTTATCGACAGGAAAAGATATTCAAAAGATTCATATTTGTAAATGTTCACAAATTGCAAATGGCGGCCAGTGTCATCTCCATCGATACGGCAGTTAAATACGGTCAATTTCAATGCTTATAGATACTCTAAACACCTTAGAATACAATAATCGTCTTCTTAAATACCTTGAATATGCAGCCTAGTAAACATCTTGTCAGTAGAAGACCTCGAAACGATGCTGTAGTCAGCGAAATGCAGAGCGATAGTAGCTAGTAAGTGCAGTAGCGATTCTGTTAAAACACAGGGGACGTTGGCAAGCAGCAGCAGTAACTATATGGAAACAGAAGTCAGAACGAGGCGTCATCGAACATTTCCGGCAACGTCAAGCAGCCAGCTACAGCTGCATGCCATGGGGCCAAACACCTGACGCTTTGGGGGTTAACACCGTTGTCTATGTATTCAAATGCCGGATATACCCTAGTTCACCCACACACCCGTAACTGTTGGTTGTCTAAAACATAGCTTTCACTGTCTAAAGACGTGTTAAGATTAGTACCAAAACGATTAGATTCCATGGAAGGACCATTTGTTGTGATGAACATCGGAAGAAAGGCTTTAACTGCCGGCCAAAAAGCAAACGACCAAACAAAGGGAAGCAGATCCTGCTTTGACGGCCGTTGTCATGGTTTCCGTGGGTGATAAAAAGAAGGGCCGGTTGTGTTTGTTTTGACCCCGAGTATCCACTGTCAAACTGGTAAAGGCATGTCGTTCCTGGCCGTTCATCTGACATGGGGGCCGTCCGCCTGCTGGTGTGTAGCTGGTGGTGTACGTTTAAGCTGCTATACGACAGCAAATGAGAATGAGTCGCTCAAGCAGCAGTTATGGTGGGTGTGGGTGTGGGTGTGGGTGTGGGTGTGGGTGTAAGTTTCAGTGCAGAATGAATCATCTGGCGGCTGCGATTGGGTGTTATTTGTGTCTTATAATGTACATCCACCCCGTGATTATAACTGACCATGTCTTTGCATTATTTAGTGCTGTCTTTTTAAACACGATTACTTGTGCTGAACGTGACCACAGATATTTTCAAGCGGGAGACAGTTTGTGCCGAACCCCTCGCCGATAAACTTGCGCCAATAAGCTGACAAGAGTGCTCTCCCTTTGTGCATAGGTCGAGACGAAGCTGGCTGTGAGACATTCCCCCTCAAAATGACAGATACAAGCTAATTAACCTGCTTGCGATGTCAGTATCTTTATTATTGTGCACGATTCAATAAAGAAATATGTACATGTATCTGCACAATTCCAGCTATATCCCCGCTCATCTAAATGCCAAGGCAAGGTCCCGGGCGTGTAATAGTGAGGCAAAGTAGGCGTTAACCGGCAGTCGCTTGTAATGATCCACCTGACATTCAGCACTGGTGGTCCGTACAGGTATTTGGTCAGTGAACCCGATCTACCCTCTGGCCAAGACGTGTTACATAGACAAAGGCCGTGGCCAAAACAACAGAGCAAGATTAAAACCCTCTCTTTGATTGAACCTTCCGTTCTAAAGAGTCTAACAAGGTTATAGGTTGGCCGTGTAATAATTAAATTACTCTAGTAACACCACATTTTATCATTACTATGTTCCGTCAATATACAGTTACACGCTTTTAATTTCCAAGGTCGACATGGAAGTAACGTGCTCCTTCTGTACCCAGTTTATGTACTGGATGATATGTGATGAATAAAACCTAAGAAAATCCGCTCGTTGTGTCCCCCGCCGCGACATGGGGAACTATTGCTAAGAGCCAACCATGCCCACTCACTCCTGTCTCCTCCACTCACTCACTCATTCACTGTCTAGGAGGTAATAGGTGCCACAACTATCCCAGTATCATACAAGGCACCAGTTGCTACGTGTATCAACTGGATTCAAAATGAGCACTAGACGAGGGCGCAATCCCTCTTTCTGCTCTAAGAATATGTATAAATATATCTAAAGACAATGTCACGGTTATTTAAACAGGCGCAAAGAGGAAGGGGGAGACCACTCTCGACCATTCACGTGTACGTGTACAAACTAAGTGAAGCAATCATAAAATATCAGTCTACCCGCATCAGCTTTGTATCCGTAGCTACACGGGTATAGACTTCGTGTTTGTCATCGAACAACTTGTAAAACACTCGGCTAGAAGACAGCAGCACAGCGGGATACAGCAAATGACCACTGAATATCTTCACGTGTCAGTTAGTTAACTGTCTACAACAACTTCAAGATATCTTAAAACCAGACTTGGTTCAGCTGCCTCTCCCGCTGTGTTGCTGTCACCTTGCTAGTAGATCCAAGGAAGGAAGGAAAACAGACTCACGTGTATACCATTCATTAATATTTATTAAGATATAATCAAAGAAATAGAATAGCATTCGCCTAAAAGAAGTATCTGAATTGGGGCCAAAAGTATAAACAGTCTCTCATTAGGAAAGAAATAAACTCGGAAATGTCAGCCAAAGGGTGTGCCAAAACATACTCGATCGAAGGGTGTGTCCAAATATATGTCCAAAGGGTGTAGCCAAAAGTCCAAAGAGGTGAAAGGTATATTAGACAGGCACCAGAACACACCATCTCACACAAGCACACTTACACTCAAACGTACATGCAAAACACATCTTCATCTCCCATACACACTCACACTGAATCAGTCATGCAAAACGCTCTCTCTCTCTCTTACTGTCTCTCCCTGTACTCCTTCCTCTCTCTCTCTCTCTCTCTCTCTCTCTCTCTCTCTCTCCTCTCTCCTCTCTCTCTCTCTCTCTCTCTCTCTCTCTCTCTCTCTCTCTCTCTCTCCCTCTCTCTCTCTCCCTCTCTCTCTCTCTCTCTCTCTCTCTTCTCCCCTCTCCTCCTCTCTCCCTCTCTCCCTCTCTCTCTCCCTCTCTCTCAATCTTTTCTCTCTCTCTCATCTCTCTCTCTCTCTCTCAATCTCTCATCTCTCTCTCTCCCCTCTCTCTCTCTCACACACACACCAACATTCTCGCACACATACACATACTCATTCACATCCAATCACACATATTACCCTCTCACACACACATATTTACCCTTACACACAGACATACATACATTCACGCACGCACGCGCACACACAAACACACTGGATGAGGAATCTACGAGGAAGATTCTCCTCCAGAGGCAGCCCACTCTCCTCAGCGCCTTCCTCACAGGATGAACCTCTCGCTCCTCCACAGAAGCTGTCGTCGTCCTCGTCCTCATAGACCCAGTAGTCACTGTCGTCGTCACTCGGGACAGGGTAATAGTCGACATAGGTGATGGTGACTGGGGCGAGGAGCGTCTCGCCGTTGTCAGGACGGGTCCAGAACAGGGCGAAAACGCTCAAAAGGGTCGGGGAGAGGGCAGGGGACGCAGCCTGGGGACGCTACATCGGTGAGTGGGGAGGGTGGGAGAAAGGAGGGTCGTGGACGAGGGCATATAGGAGGATTTTAAAGATGCAAACACACAGAATATTAAGGTGCATAGTCCTTGATTGTACACGCTATAGATGCTGACAGAATGTTAGGTATAGGAATGTTGTGTTAGTGTTGAGTAAATGGGAGACGGTACCCTTTTCAGTCCGTGACAATATCATGTCGCCTTATATGCATAAATGGATTATCGAAGAACAAGGACAATGAAGCTAGCTATTGGGTCGAATCTCAAGAAGATGGAGATGAAATGCATACGCAGTCAGTTCCTCATCCAGCGACAGCCATAAACTCGCAGCAGGGTGACATGATACCGTATCATATCTTCCCGTGCTGAAAATAACCAAAACATACCATGTTTAATACACATTCAATACATGTACGAAGTGGAACCACGGCATGTTCCGTGGGAGGTTTGAAACGACAAGCGAGACAAACGGATTGTCCATAATATAGACCATAGCCCCAATGAGGGCTCATGAGACGAATTACAGGCCGCGACAATGCGGTAGAGGAATTTAAAATGGGCATGTAATCGTTGAACACGATATACGAAATCCATCTTACAGTAATGTCGTTATAGACCGTATATTTCGAAAATACGTTTAAAAAATAAACCAAAGTTACGCCTTATATATGGCAAAAAAAGATCTGTAGTAATTTACACCGACATCGTCTATCGTATATAAATGCGGACGACACTCATTTTATCGACAGAAAGACATTCAAAGATTCATATTTATGGGAATTTTCACAAATTGCAAATGGCGGCCAGTGTCATCTTCATCGATACGGCAGTTAAATACCACGGTCCAATTTCAGTGCTTATAAGATAACTCTAAACACCTTAGAATACAATAATCGTCTTCTTAAATACCAGCGAATATGCAGCCTAGTAAACATCTTGTCGGTAGAAGACCTCTGAGAACGATGCTGTAGTCAGCGAAATGCAGAGCGATGGCTAGTAAGTGCGAGTAGCGATTCTGTTAAAACAGGGGGACGTTGGCAGCGGCAGCAGGGTAACTATATCAGAGCGGGGAAGTCAGAACGAGGCGTCATCGAACATTTCCGGCAGCGTCAAGCGGCCAGCTTCCGCTGCATGCCATGCGGGCCAAACACCCTGACGCTTTTGGGGGTTATTAACACCGTTGTCTATGTATTCAAATGCCGGATATACCCCTAGTTCATCACACACGCGTAACTGTTGGTTGTCACAGGCGCTAAGCTTTCACTATCTAAAGACGTGTTAAGATTAGCAGCAGGTACCAAAACGATTAGATTCCACAGGAGGATAATTTTATTTAGCGTTGATGTTATCGGAATAACCTTTAACTGCCACCGGCCAAGCAAACGTTTAAGCAAGGGAAAGCAGATCCTGCTTTGACGGCCATTGTCATGGTTTCCGTGGGTGATGAAAAGAAGGAGCCAGTGTGTTTGTTTTGACCCCAGTATTCACCAGCCGAAGCTGGTGAAGGCAGCTATCGTTCCTGGCCGTTCATCTGGCATAGAGAGGGGACCGTCCACCACCTGCTGGTGGCAGCTGGTGGTGTACGCGTTTAAAGCTGCTGCTCTGACGGCAAATGAGAATGGAGTCAGTTCAAGCAGCAGTTATGGTGGGGGGTGTGTGTGTGTGTGTGTGTGTGTGTGTGTGTGTGGTGTGTGTGTGTGTGTGTGTGTGTGTGTGTGTGTGTGTGTGTGTGGGAGTGTGTGTGTGTGTGGTATTGTGTGTGTGTGTGTGTGTGTGTGTGGGTGTTAATGGGTGTGGGGGTCGGGGTGGGGATAGAGTGGGGTGGATTGTGGGTGTGGGTGTAAAGTTTCAGTGCAGGAGAATGAATCATCTGGCGGCTGCGATTGCAGGTGTTGTGTTGTGTCTTATAATGCCCATCCACCCACGATTATAACTGACCATATCTTTGCATTGTTATTTATTTAGTGCTGTCTTTTGTAAGCTTGATTTCTTGTGCTGAACAGCTGACCACAGATATTTCCAAGCAGAACGGTTTGACGCCGGGGCCTACGCCGATAAACTTGCGCCAATAAGCTGACAAGAATTACTCTCCCCTTTGTGCATGGAGTCAGGGCAGAAGCTGGCTGTGTGAGACATTCCCCTCAAAATGACAGATACAAGCTAATTAACCTGCTTTTGCGATGTCAATCTTTATTATTATTACTTACCGATTCAATAAAAGAAATATGTACATCGTATGTGCACAATTCCAGCTATATTCCCGCTCATCTAAATGCCGAGAGCGGATACGGGCGATAATGAGTAAAGAGGCAAAGTAGGCGTTAACCGGCAGTCGCTTTGTAATGAATCCACCTGACATTCCAGCACTGGTGGTCCGTACAGGTATTTGGTCAGTGAACCCGATCTACCCTCTGGCCAAGACGTGTTACACATAGACAAAGGCCGTGGCCAAAACAACAGAGCAAGATTAAAACCACTCTCTTTGATTGGGCGCTTCCGTTCCTAAAAGGAATCTAACAAAGGTTATAGGTTGGCCGTTAGCCAATAATTAGAATTACTTTCTAGTAACACCACATTTTATCATTACCATGTTCCGTCCAATATACAGTTACACGCTTTTAATAATTTCCAAGGTCGGCATGGAGTAACGTGCTCCTTCATGTACCCAGTTTATGTACTGGATGATTGTGATAGATAAAACCTAAAGAAAATCCGCTCGTTGTCCCCGCTGCGACATGGAACTATTGCTAGAGCCAACCATGCCCTCACTCACTGTCTCACTCTATGCTGCTCATTCACTGTCTAGGAGGTAATGAGTGCCACAACTATCCCAGTATCATACAAGGCACCAGTTGCTACGTGTATCAACTGGATTCAAAATGAGCACTAGACGAGGAGCGCAATCCCTCGTCTGCTAAGAATATGTATATAAATATATCTAAAGACAATGTCACGGTTAAACGGAAGGCGCAAGAGGAAGGGAGACCACTCTTTGCGCCATTTAAATGACATTAGATATATTTATACATATTCTTAGGCAGAAAAGAGGATTAGCTCGTCTAGTGCTCATTTGAATCCAGTTGATACACGTAGCAACTGGTGCCTTATGATACTGGGACAGTTGTGGCACTCATTACCTCCTAGACAGTGAATGAGTGAGTGAGTGAGTGAGACAGTGAGTGAGTGGGCATGGTTGGCTCTTAGCAATAGTTCCCCCATGTCGCGGCGGGGGGACACAACGAGCGGATTTTCTTAGGTTTATTCATCACATATCATCCAGTACATAAGCACCGGGTACAGAAGGAGCACGTTACTTCCATGTCGGCCTTGGAAATTAAAAGCGTGTAACTGTAGACGGAACATGAAATGATAAAATGTGGGTGGTACTAGAGTAGTGAATTATTATTAATATATAACCTTGTTAGACTCTTTAGAACGGAAGGTTCAATCAAAGAGAGGGTTTTAATCTTGCCTGTTGTTTTGGCCACGGCCTTTGTCTATGTAACACGTCTTGGCCAGAGGGTAGATCGGGTTCACTGACCAAATACCTGTACGGACCACCAGTGCTGAATGTCAGGTGGATCATTACAAGCGACTGCCGGTTAACGCCTACTTTTGCCTCATATTACACGCCCGGGACCTTGGCATTTAGATGAGCGAGATTGTGCAGATACATGTACTGCTTTGATGAATCGTGCGCACAATAAAGATACTGACATCGCAAGCAGGCTAATTAGCTTGTATCTGTCTGAGGAATGTCTACAGCCAGCTTCGTCTCGACCTATGCACAAAGGGAGCACTGCTTGTCGCTTATTGGCGCAAGTTTATCGGCGAGGTTTGGCACAATGCCTCCTTGGAAACTATCATGAAGTCCGCATTCGCTGGAAGTAATCGTGTTTAAAAGGCAGCACTAAATATTAAAGAGCATGGTCAGTTATAATCACGGGGTGGATGTACATAAAAGACACAAATAACACCCAATCGCAGCCGCCAGATGATTCATTCTGCGACTTACACCACACACCCACTACACACACACCCACACCCACCCACACCCACACCCACCCACACCCACACCCCACAATAACTGCTGCTTAGGCGACTCATTTCTCATTTGCTGTCGTATAGCAGCAAACGCTACCACCAGCTACACACAAGCAGGCGGACGGACCCCATGTCAGATGAACGGCCGGAACGACATGCCTTTACCAGTTTGACAGTGGATACTCGGGGTCCAGCCAAACGCAACCGGCTTCTTTTTGTCGCCACGAGAGCCATGACGGCGGCCGTCAAGAAGCGGGATCTTAGCTGCGGCACGTTTGGTCGTTTTGGCTTTGGCCCGGCGGTTAGGCCTTTCTTCCGTGTTTAAATGCAACCGTGGTCGGCTTCCGCGGAATCACAATCGTTTGGGGTACTGAATCTTGTACGTCTTTGGGCAATTGAAATCTGTGATGCCAGACGGCCAACGGTTGCGGGTGTGGTGAACTTGCAGGGTGTATCCGGCATTTGAATACGCAGACGGCGATTTGCCCCAAAGGCGTCGGGTGTTTTATTTGTGGCGTACGGCAGCTCAATGGCGTTGCCGATGTTTCGATGACGCTTCGTTTACTGACTTCGTTTCGCCTTAGTTGCAGATTTGCCAACGTCCCCTCTATTTTCCACAGAATCGCTACTGCAACTTATCTTTCTGCACCTAGGTCGACTTCCAATCATTTCGAAGATGTCACCCCGACTGAATGTTTACTAGGCTGTATTCAAGGTATTTAAGAAATGAGATGACTTTCGTGGTACCCACGAAATATAGTCTTTGGCTTTCTGTCGTCAAAATAAATTGATAATCATATTTACCGCTGACGAGCGATGTTCAAACCACTACCGTCTTTTGCCATATGAGCGTAACTGAGTTGTGCAAACATATTTTCGAAATATACATTCACGTGCACTGTAGTAACTATCAAACAACGATACCATGCCCATTTAATGCACTACAGCATTGATAGCGGCCTTACTATCTGAACTCTATTGAAGGCATGATCTGTTATGGACGGCTCGTTGTCTCGCTGATCGTCCACTCCCGCATTGGTAATGACCGATGGCTGTTTGTTCGCGAGCCTGTTACGACATCATGTCGCTCGCAACGCTGTTATGACGCGTCTCTGATAATCCGTGTAATGCACATTCTCCATCTTCAGTCGGCAATAACCTTCATGACTTTGAACTCGTAATCCCGACGGCTCACATATAGCTGTTTGTAATTGTCGAGACGAAAAAGTGCCGTCTCCCCATTTACTCGGCACTAACCTGGCATTATATTCTGATAAACATCTGCCAGCATGTATGTCAGACCTCGCTCTCTGCCTCCTTT